TTATAATCTTCACCTTCAATGTTTGATTTCAATTAACATGCCTTTCATAATTCCATTATATTAATGAGTTAATCCATTTCAAATCCAAGTAGGAATGGTAAGGTTACATATTTTAAAACTTCTATTTTTAGAAAATGACACCCGTTATACTTAACCAAACAAATGGTAATTAATTTGCATGCCGATTTCTAACCCTCATGCTTGTAAACCAAACATCCCTAAAGCTACTTGTGAATTGCTTGCAAGTATCGAAATGCCCCTTGATTTATTAACATTCCCCCCCCCCCCAACTTAAACAGCTTTGGAGTTCACATTCAACTCGAATGGTGCTTCTTTGGACTTCTATAAAACAAAAATTGGCAATAACAAAATCCTTGGGCACAAGGGAAAGTTAGAGAAGACCAAGTTGTTGATTTATGTCCAAAGAATAAAATGGAGGAAAGTAACATAATCTTGGACTCACTTAAATCTCTTAAATGCGTCTTGTTTACTTCAGATTTATACTTTTGGCTTCCAAACAATTTCCCTCTTAGAGTTGTGTGACATAGGGTGAGACTGGAGGTGCTATCAAGTCGAGTCGAACTCGAGTAGCACCATACTCGAGCTCGATCGAGTAAAAAAATTTGGACTCGAGCTTGATTCGATGAAATAAAACTAAACTCAAGCTTGACTCGTTTGAGCTTGAGTAAGCTCGAGTAAATATCAAGCCCGAGCCACTCGAGCTCGAGTTCGAGTTTTAAAATAAAACTATAATTTTTTTAAAAAATATATAATATATAATATAATATAATATAAATAAAATATGAAAGCTCGATTAAGCTCGGCGAACACTCGAGTACTTATTTCTTGAGCTCAAACTCGACTCGTTAAATTTAACGAGTAGCTCGAGCTCAAACTCGAGCTCGATTTTACCGAGCTCGAGTCAAGCTTTTGATCAAGCACTCACGAGCAGCTTGACTTGCTAGCACTCCAGGTGAGACTTTGTCAAGACAAAAGTGGTTGAAAATGGTCAACTAGAACTTTAGGGGGAAGACAAACTAAGGATGCGTTTGGTTCACAAACAGGATGAGAGGGATTTACTTATTTCCAAACTACTCATTTTGGGTTGAGTCATCCTTACATGAGTAATCTTATTATCTAGTGTTTGATTGGTTTTATATTAGCTGCGAGGTGTTAGGGAATAACATCATCCTGTGTTTGCGTTTGGTTAGATATAGGATGAAATGGAATTACGTAATTATAAACCACAAGATCCTTTTGTCAAATCAACAATTAGAAGTTTTAATCGAGCCTGATAAACCCAAATTCGACTTGTAAAAAGTAGATATTTTGGATTTTGGATTTCAAGCTAACATTCTGAGACCACATTCAGGGACACAAATATATTGGAGTTTCGAGCTTAGTTTTAAAAGCACCTTGGGGGAAAAAGATCATAACACTTGCTTGCGGCAATTATTTTTCCACAGGTAAAAAAATTTAAAACAAACTTGCTATTTCTATGACCTTTATTTTGCAGTACAATGGATCCACTTTTTCCTTCTAAATCCTTTGTTTTGAGAACCCTTTATTGCTAACGGCAGCTAGTGGGAGAGAAAAGGAGCAAGACTGGGCAAATTACTGTATTGGATATCAAACACAGCATCCACTGACAATCACTTCAATCTTTTCAGTTACATACCCTAATAAAAAAAAAGTTCTCTACATCATACTAGTATAAATATTTAGCATGCATCATCAAGAAAATTTTAATAGTAAATCAAGTACAAGAAGAAGGTAAATCACAGAAGTCCCTCTTTCGGATGCATTATTTGGGTTTGGATTGGTGGATGGCAGTGGTGCTGAAGCAGACGTTCCTGATGCAGTAGTATTGCTGGCTGCTCCTGCTTGACTTACATCGACACCAAACCTCATCCCATCCAGACAGTGCCCAGATATGTCACAAATAAACCAATACTTCTTGGCTTCTTTGAGCTCAATTTGATCGCTTCCACTTGTGTATTTTGCCACAACTCCACTGCTTGCATCGCAAGATCGAAAGGTGGCCTCACTCACTTCATACACATTATGTTCCCCTTTTGTATACTTGAAAACTAATCCACCAGAGAGCAAAAAAACATGTAACTAGTGATCAAGGACTTTTTCTTTTTTTGTAGTTCTTCGTTATGGAAATCGTAGAAAAGAAAAATTAACTTGAGGGACGAAGGATGAATATACATACATATATACATACGTACCCAAAATATCATCAACCGTGAAGTTGTACTTGGTAGACCAGGCGAGATAGTTGACTCCAATGCTCCAATTATCCTCATCACCTACCGTGTAAGTCTCGCATCTGGCACCGCACAGCAGCAGAACACAGACTAAAGAAGCATGCAAGAAGCAGCTGAAGGAGATGCCATAGCGAAGCTTAATTTCTTTTTTCATAGCCTGAAAAGCTATAAAGATGTTGATCGACCGGAACCCTTGTCAATTCTGCACAGTTTCACCTATCTTCCACCATTGCTTAAAACAGAAGACTTTCTTTGTACAGTTTTATGTAATTATACGAAGACAGCTACAGGGTGATTGATATATTTGGCCTGGTGTGACTTGTTGGAAAACACCGGCTTGTTGTGGGCCTTTTCCCACTTGCAATTTCAATATTCATAAATGCTACTAGCATTGAGGGGGCGCTTGGTTCATGCTCCGGAATTGGTATTGGATACGGAATGAATTATAAAAAATCAATATGGGTATAAGCTCCGGCTATCATTGAAATCACTACTGCTTGGTACAATTTTTAGTGGAATGGGTATCAAAATTATTATTGCATTTTTGCCATATCTTTTTCTTTGTTGGGTTCAATCATGCGGAGCCTTTAGCAACGATCACCAGCCATCATCCAACTACAGAGAATTTCTTAGGCTGTACAGCATTCATTTGGCGGAGAACGAGGCAAAGCAAATATACAGACTTGCTTGGAATACTCTTCGCACCCAGATTTTACAAGTCAACGCATACAACACAAAACAAAAGTAAGCAAAAGAAGTTACTGAAGAACCCATTTCCCGTTAGCTACTTGACTCCATTATAGCCAAACCCGGAGTTCCTTCATACAATACCAGCCATCATCAGACCATCCCCAATCAAGGCCTTCTGTTTTTTTTTTTTTTCCATTTTTTGTTCTTTCCTTTTCTTTTTTCTTGTCAATTGATACAATCCAAATTTTTGAGGGGGGTCTAGGGTTAGGATTTTGAGGGTGAGGAAGGAGTGATACTAGTGCGGAGGAAGGTGGAAGTTTTTGAGATGTCGAGTGATGGCAAGGAAAATTTTTGGATGCCATGGAAGAGGAGACAGAGTGGTGGGAGATGATGGGAGAAGACCGGAGGGAAGATGACTGAACGAGGGTGAAGGGATCAGCGAATAAAAAAAATGTTTTATAAAAATTATCTTGGAATCAAATATAGGAATTAACAAAACCCACCAATTCACTCGGGAATGGAGAGTTGCTAACTTTTTAGAATTCATTCCAAAATCTTGAATCCCACACCTATTATCCAAGCACTTAAAATGGATATCATTCCAAATCCTGAATCCCATGATAAGTACTACTAGTAGTTTGAAAACTTCAATGAAGAAAAATGAGGAATAAGAAACTGGATTTGTGGGGGCAAGCCGTGACCATTGATCTCGTTTGATCAAAATTATTAAACTCGGCTCAAGCTCAAGTTGAAGTTAATCCCATCCATAACTGTAAGAAACTGTTCTGCAATGATGAACCGACGTTCGTTGTAAATGGACTACTCTATAAATTGGTGTACAAGTAAATTAAGTTGTTCTTGTTTGGTTTGTACATAGTTACACTATGGAACTCCAAAACCTGGTGTGACATGTTCAAACTTGAGCTGAACTAATGACTGTGAGTTTGTTTGGACAACAAGAATTTGGAATAAAAATTTCAGATTTTGTTTTGCTTGCATCGTACACACAATTCCCAATCACCTTTTTATCTCACATACATCACATCACAAAAAGTGCTACAGTAACTGGATCAAATAAATCATCCAAATAAATTTTTATCCAAACAAACAGAATATATGGAGAATCGGGTTTGAGATTTGTTCCCCGATTGCATTAGAGTATTAGCAGTTAAATGAATCAAACTGATGGTTAGCTCGACTCGTCTAGGTTCGTTCGTGTTTGATAACGGTTCGTTCGAAATTTTATACGAGTCGAGTTCGAATAAATATTTTAGCTCTATAAGTAATCGAATGAACATGAACTCGTTCGCGAATTTAAACAATTGTTCGCGAACATTGGTCTAATTATAATATCACAAAATTTATGGTTAATATTATATTCCTAATTTCTAATTTCAAGTTTAATTGTTCGCGAACATGGATCTAATTGTTCGCAAACGGCTTGTTTATATTAAACGAGTCAAACTCGAGTTCAAACTCGAACTAAAATTTTGTTTAAGAGCCAAACACAAATTTGAAACTCGAATATTATCGAACGAATACAAGCTTTATTTGAATAGTTTAATGAACATATTCGATTTGACTTGACTCGACTAGTTTTTAACTCTAAGATTTAGTAGTCTCTGCCGCATTGAGGAAACCAAATTTGGAATAATTTGATGCCAGCAAGTCAACGTGCTCAAATAAGGTATAAATAACGAGTAATCCAAACACACTAAAATTTCGCCCCCGCGTGAATGGTCCAGCGGCAGCGCCTCTCACCAGTGAACCCTGAGGTCACAAGTTCGAGTCTCCGCTATGCTGGATTCCTCCACGCACTTAATGCGTTCGGGCCGGGTTGGGACGCCCGGCCCGGACCGTAGGGGATTAGTCGGGCCCCGTAATGATTGACCCGGACATCCCTGTGTCGAAAAAAAAAAAAAAAACACACTAAAATTTCACTTGATAGCAGGAGAAGAACAATTTTTACTTGAAGCCCAAGCGCATTAGTACTAGTGTAGCACCCACAAGAAGCCCAACCATATCCATCATATTCAGTTTAGTAATTATGATCAGGCTACGACATCGTATACTACTATTTACGCTCGCCCGAGAAGACCTTTTCCCCTCCCTCAAGAATTTTCCAAAACCCTACTGCAACGACACTGCCTATTCTACTGTGTCCCCATCCCAAAACCCTCCAACTTCCAAAACCCTCCATCTGATTCATTGATTGTAAGAAAAGGAAAAAGAAAGAAGAGTTTGGGACATGGCAGGAGGGAGATTTAGGGAACTGTTGAGGAAGTACGGAAAGGTCGGATTGGGTGTCCACTTTTCTGTATCTGCGGCTTCCATCACCGGGCTGTACGTGGCGATTAAGAATAACGTCGACGTGCAGGCCTTGTTCGAAAAGGTCGGCGTGCAGGCCCCGTCCAAAGGAGGAGGAGGAGCAGAACCCGGAGGAGACCAAGATCTCAATACCAACCCCGAGACTTCCACCACCACCTCCACAGATGGGTTCGTCGTGGAGGAGGAGTTCAAGAAGAGGAATCGGACTGCCGAGCTGGCGGCATCCAGTGGTGGGGCACTGGCTCTGGCATTGCTGCTTAACAAGGCTCTGTTTCCTATAAGGGTTCCCATCACCCTCGCTCTTACACCTCCCGTGGCCAGGTTTCTCAGGAGCCGACAAATTATCAAGAACGGTCTATAAGTTTTTCACTACTTTACCTTTTTATTTTTGCAAATCCTTCCCCCTCCCCCCCCCCTCCTTCTCCTTCTTGCCCCTAATGGCAGGCTGGGGCCGGGGCTGTGGCTGGGGGGAGAGTCATCAGAGTTCTTGTCTTGATGCTATTTGCTTGATATTGGGTTCGGGTTTGCAAGTTGTGATTTTGAGTCACATTGCTGAGGAGACCATTATGACGGAGATAAAGGAACATCTGTGAATTACTGCTATTACATACTACTAGTATTTATATATGGTTCTGCAATTTGTGTAATTTCTCTGGAATTTTGGTCTTTACGAATTTTTGGGGCTGAGACTGAGGATTCATTCATTAGCCTTTGTTACTAAAAGGTGAGCCTGTCAACAGAAGTTCATGTTAAAATCTTCAAACACTCCTTAAAAATCAATAAACGCAAAAGAAGGGATTTCAGAAGAGTGCTAATATCATTTCCCTCCATTCTTGAGTCGACTTGGGTCTATTTGCAGTCTTGTATACTGAAGGCAATCTATGTACTAATTGTGGATATATGAACTATTTTTGTTCACCCTGTATTAGTTCATTAGTGTGCATCTGAAATCTATAGGATTAATCTTTTCTATATTGATAACGTTGAATGAATGATAACTATACAAAATTTGAATTTGAAATTCAACTTTTGCACATATATCATGTTATGAATCTAATAACGGTGATAATATAGATACTGTAATGTATATAAGATTTACTCAAATCTATATTGCTTCATCTTTCATGACAAATTGTTAACGTCAATCCTCGTTTGGATTTTGTTTGCATCATTAACACATTTTTCAATCAGTATTCATTTCAAAAACTTACCCCAAATAATCTACTAATAGTAACGATACTCGGAAGTCTCAAACACCTCGCCATACAGCTAAGTGGAGCTGTCACTGATCTAATGTACAGCTTTCTTTTCCTGGAACCAACAGGGTAACTAACTAATGGGTATTAAACCATTGTAGTTTTGAGTTTAAAGGGATGTTATCTCCTGCTTACTTGACACAGTACTAATTGCAGCATACTGTGTATTTCCTTCAGACTGCATTCATGAAAGGTGTCATGAAGAGCTTGGGGCAGGGTGATCATCAAATCACTGCATGAACATTGTTTTTAACGTCACGTAGGGACCTATAAAAATTTGTTCTATATCTTGTAAAATTGGACCTATAAAAATTTGTTCTACATTTTGTTTGTGGAAATGGACAAAACCAGCAGACGACAACGCCTGACCCAGTCATGGAGTCATATCAAGTATGCTTTAGATGCATATTCACACGAAGGGGGATGAAAGCCTATCACTCTCCCATGCCAGCCTGAGAATTAGACTCTGCTATATGTGGAATGGAAACCTTGAACCAAAAAAAAAAAAAAAAAAAATCCCACCTCTTAAACAGAGATGCTATTTCTGGGTACAAATCCGGTTACTAGCCTTTTGTATTAGAACAACTCCACCTCTAATGATTAGCTTGCATTGTCTTCTATTTTAATCGGGGGTCCCAAGCGCAAGCTACCAAGCTTTCCCCATCCGTCTTTGGGTCGTTAGGATGGATTCCACTGCATTATCTAATGACATTTTTGCCAATCAGCAGGGTAACAATTTGAGACAACGAATCCTACAACTCCTACAAGCAAATCCTCATTACAAATTTTCCACGACTAGTGAGCTTTACCTAAATTGCAGAACAAGTTGGCAAACGACAATGAGCATCTCAGGAACGGAAATCTTCTTCAGCAGAAAAGTATCTTACTTAAGTTGCGAGTCAGTTTAGAGCCCACCCTCATTTCTGGATCTCTAACAAAACTGAAGCCCAACCAATAATGAGGTAGGGATCATAAGATCAATCATTGTTTCCAAAGTAAAACAAGTCATACAAGATCCAGGAATACACCCAAAAACAAAACAGGATGAAAAAAGAATACCTAGACTACAATAACACCTCTCACTCTAAAGGACAAACAAAAATGCCAAAAGATAGTACAAAGACTGTAAATACATGAGAAATCTCACTTCTCAGAAAAGCAATACAAGAAAAACAGAAGAGGGTATCTCAAATATATCCTCTTTCAGTGATGCAAAACTGGAAAGCTCTATGTAGGTACCCTGAGTAGTCAAAGCCATCAGAGATTGTAACAATGAATTAGTTGTGTTAGTTCATGAAATTTTACAATTAACAAACAGCAGCAGTAGTCCTTGGAACTTCTGCTCTGAAGGACTCGTCCTACTGGGCTTTTAATACATGATAATGCATCTTGGGTTTCCCAATACTAAAGTTAGACAGAATCTAAAGCTATATCAACTAAGACCATGTAAGGTCAAATGGTCTTGAAATCAATCCAGTTAAATGATTACGCTGACCTTATTGGATTTGGATGAAGAAGATATACAGCTGGCCCTGCAAGACTTCCAAGGTTATTGCAGGTGCTTAAACTCCTGACAGTTGGCTCCAATTTCACTTAACGATATGTAAAGTTTTGGCACAATCTTTGCCAGCATCAGTTTAAAGCCAATGGAATTTGAATTAGCATGGGTATTACTGCTAATGGAAGCATCTTTTGTGAGTGAACCAATAAGATATCCCTTCATATAAGTATCACAGGCTTTGAGGATGTAGTAACCACGTCTTCTAAAGTGCTGTTGGACAAGCTCTTCAAAGTCCTGGAAACAGTTTCATAGTAGGATTACAAAGACATTAGTAGCTGATTTTGAAATTTTATGCTTATATAGAATTATGCAGTCCCAATTAATGATGAAAAATCTTAGGCATGGTACAAAGGGGAACACAAATGAAGCAACGGAACCATACGTAGGCATCAGAAGTTTGAACATTGGATGCAGCATGGCACAAAACTCTCTCATGGCTGTTCCATAGAACTAGGTTTTATCTTTTGAAGTGATTTGCTAGCTTCTTTCTTAGAATAGAATAATCACCTCATGCAAAGGTGGAACAAAGGAACTTATCTGGAAAAAGCACTAAAAAGATTGAAAACTTTGCAAAGAACAATCATCAAATTGGTCCACCAACACGACATTTTTACAGAAGTCTCTAATGTGGATGCTAACTAAAGTTCAGATGAAAATCAAGAAAATATCAAATAAGATTGATTTTTGTAACACTATGACAAAAGCATTCAGCCTAGATAACAAGAAAGGTTTCTGCACCAAGAAAACCAGGAACTAAAAGTCAAGACGAACATCAAAGAAGAAGTAAAAATAACCAACTGCAATCTCCTAGCTTGTTCCACTCTATATAAAATCTATTCTTCTCCATCAGGTGAACAGATTAAAAAAAAGTAATATAACCACTTAAAACAGACAGCATGCAGTCTCAAAAACAAACAAACACAGTGAACTCTCCATAGTGAAACCCAGGACAAACTGTACATGTTCACATGAAACCATTAAATTGACAGAGGAGTTTAGGCATTCATCACCTTGGGAGGTTTCCGTATGAGATACATCATTGTCTTGCAGTTGAGTAAGAATGTATTCTCATTGTACGACAAAGAATTTTTCTCTCCCTCAGCTGTCCCAATTTGTTTGTCATATCCAGCTTCATTGAAATATGGCTTGGAATTTAGCACTAGCCCTTGAAGCGAAACTAGGACTTGAAGAATGCTCGATGATGAAGGATCCCACACCTCATTTCCTCTGCCTGTCCAAGTATTCAAAAGGCTCAAGCAAACTTTGCCTTCCTCATACAGATTCGGATTTATTCGCCACCCTCCAGAATGATAATAGGCAGACTGCAATGTTAAAGAAGCAACAGAAGACAAATAAGGAAAGAAGCAATTCTGCAACAGAGTTTAGTAGAATGCAAGTAGCTGCCGAAATAAAAGAACCTATCCAATCTATAAAAGAATTATCAATCTTTCTTACTGGTGGGACATCAGGGTACTCTAGTGGGAGGTGAAAGTCAAAGAAGAAAAGGCCATCTTGGTAAGGTGTTCCATACGCTCCAACTATGACAGCCCTCAATAGATCCATTCGATCTTCATAAACACGTACAAAGATTCCCTCTACAAACATTTGTAACAGTTTAGAACCAAAGGAGCTCATACTGTTTCCATGCAGTAATGTGAAATCTAGTATAAAGGATTTGAACATACCAGGAAGGTTATTCTGCAAAATATTCCAATCTTGTTGAACCTTCCTGAGCCACTTCCTGCTCGCATTATTCTGTGGTGAAAATGTAAAGGATTATTATGATCCAACTTCAAAGCAATGACAAGTAGTAGAAAGAGATTTAAGCATGTGATACATTAGACAGTGTTGCTACCAGCTCATCATTTTTGAAAATGAGTTGATCCATCAGCCATCATTTACGTGAAATTTGAATTAAACTGAATCGGGCTTTTCAACAAAATTAAAGCTGGTGATTATTGCATTGTTTTGTACTAGATCAAGGACATCTCAGTACTATATAGGCAGTCACAGCATTTAGAATGAAAAATAATAAAGTCAAAAACCATGGACAGACGACTAACCTGTTCATTTGCACCACGAAAATAATGATCGTAAGGATCTTTGGTGATATCAAATCCTTTGAAACTAGACGCTCGATCATCATGATAAGTTGGGACATTTGCTTCTGGCTTCAAGTTACAAAGAGCTTCAGCCGCATCCAATAAATCTGCTACCCCTTTGTCATCTTGTTCCTCTGCCTTCACTTTAGTGCTCAGACTTCCAATGCTATCACCACCATTAGATCTCTGGGAACATGACTCATCATCAGTATCTATTTTGACAGCCAATTCCCGCAGCTGAAGTTCATCATCACTCCTGGAATCTGGATCAGTGTGTTTTCGCCCCCTTGAAAATATACCAGAGGCCAACCTGGTCACGAACCCAAGTGCAGCCAGGGGAATGGAAAGAGCCCCATTTCTTCCAGAACTATCAGAGCCATCTTCATTGTCAATTCTAATGTCAGTGGCACTTCGATTTTTAACACCCTAGATAGCAACAAAATCTGTCATACATGATATCTTTTGATGACACATATCATATAAAATACAAAAATTGCTAGGGCCTGTAACGTTCTTACTAAAAGTTTCAAGCATCAGAAACAATTTAGAAAAGAAAAAAAAATACTTGTCAGTCATTATTCCACTCCGCATCAAATAAAACTCTCTGGACATCTAGTTTATCAAGCTAATATTCTATAATCAACTCAAACAAAAACTATCTGGTAGGAACCTATTTACTTTTGGTCAGTGGAGACAATCAACTAGCATATCTACATAATGAGCTGATAAATGCTATGAAGTCTGCCAAAACACTTGAAGAATCCCGACCGTAGCAACCATTATAAAACTTCTACACCATGTTTCCTTTTCCACAGGTTTACAAAGAAGCAATTGAGTTTTTAAGAAACATTTGGTGCAACAAACAAATTTCA